GGTCTCTTAGGATCATCCACAGGTACCTATACTGTAGATAGGTCTTAGTCATCAGGTCTACTCCACTTCCTTGTTGCCTGCTTAGACTCTTGGCACTCTTAGGTGAGCAGACTTAGTCAGCCTGTGTTGCCCTAACAGTGGCCTGGTTGATAAAAAGATTGCAAGACATATTGTTGAACATGTCCACAATGTCAAATCTTCTCTGACCCAAGGAAATGGCAGGAGTTTGAAGAACAACACCTGCTTCCACCAGTTGAACCATTTGAGCAATGGGGAATGGACTTCATTGGAATACCAGAGACCAGAGATGGTCACAAGCATAAATGGATCTTGACAATGGTCAATCATGCCACAGGCTGGCCAATTGTGATTCCAATGCAAAAAGCCACAGGCCAATGAGTTGCCCAGGAGATTTGGGACCAGATCATTATGCACTATGGAGTGCCAAGTGAAATCCTCACAGACTGTGGAAAGAACTTCCTTGCTCCAGTTGTGTCTGAATTCCAAGATTGCAAAGATCAGATGGTTGACTACCTCAGGATATCATCCACGTACCAATGGGAAAACAGAGTGATACAATGGGATCCTTGAGTTGTATCTCAAGAAGATGAATACCACAGGAGATCCGACTCAATGAAATGAATTTCTTGATGCTGCACTATTTGCAACTCAAGTCCGACAGCAAACCACAGCCAAATGGTCACCATTTGAGTTGTTGTATAGTTGAAAGCCTTGGTTGCCGTTTGACCAGCCACTTCTCTGTGCCCCAGATGCTGCACTCCCAGGGGATGCAGAGCACTCAGAATGGCACTTGCAAATGCAGAAGGCTCAAGAAGAAGCTTCAGAGCAAAGCACTATCCATGCAGTTGCAGACAAGGAGTGGTGGGATCACCAACTCAATATCAGGATGGAAGGTACACAGCAGGGTTTTGAGGTTGGTCAAAAGGTGCTGCTCCAGAATGAAACTGCAAACAAGGGTGATGCACATTGGTTCAGACCATTTGTGATCACTACAAAACTGGATAAGGGAACCTATCAACTGAAGGATAGACATGGACACTTACAACCAGGCTTGGTAAATGGAAACCATCTTTGACTTGCTCATCTCCAGGAAGATGATACAAACCATTGGGCTTGGGTCTTGCCAAAGGCAACACAATGCCAGTGGTCAAAGAAAGACAAGGAAGCTGCTTCACAGGCTGTTGTCCATGCCATGCCTTCAATATGAATCATCAGTCACTTTGCCAATCCAAATACCAGGTCTGCACCAATCATGGTTACAGAAGACAAAACCAGATGTGCACCAGTGACAGTTGCAGAAGACAAAGCCCAGTCTGCACCAGTGATGGTTGCAGAGGATGAATCACAGAATACACAGTGAACAGTTATGCCAAGACAGAGATCATGACCCATGGGTCAAGATCACAGAATTCCGCAAACTGTTCCAGTGAAACAAAGGCCACAGACTCAATTCTAAACTGATAACACAGACAATACCCCAAGACTGCAGGTCTTGGATTACAATCCTCCAGACAGAGGTCCAATTCCCTCAACCTGAAGCCCTGGAGCAACCCAAACAGTTGCCTGCACAGATGTGCAAAGTTAGTAAATCTGATGCAAAAGGTGGTCCACTGATTGCATATGCATGTCCAGTCCTCCAGATGGAGGTCCAGAATGCAGTACACTGCAGTCTTACCAGGATGCACCAAAACCTGATTCCATCCTTGCAAACAGGAGACACAGAGCAGAGCCAGAAGGCAAAATTCCATCTCAAAATCATAAAATCCCAGCCATCCAGCCCAAGAACAAGTCCAGAATCAGCCCAAAACCAGTCAGAATTCTCTGCAGAAGGCCCCAGGATGGTTGACAGTAGGTGACAGTAAGGTATGAGTTGAGCAAAGGGCTGGATGGCACAAGATTGTCCTCCAGCAGCATTGTGGTAGATGCTCAAGAGCTAGAGAGGGGATGGTGTCAAGTGTGTGCCAAGAGTGGCAGTGCAGGACCCTTGCGCAGCCTTAAGGCACCGGAATTTGATTCCATTAGACTATCTATGTAGCCTATATGTATATAGGGACAGATTGGCCTGCTGCAGGCCAATCCACCCTCCTTTTACTATTCTCCCCTAATCAAGGACTCAACAGTTGGTAGGTTGAGTGGGTGTGGTCATTGTTGCTGAGTTTCTTTAAGAGAAGGACTGAGGTCAGATTGTGGTTTCCTGCTACCAACTGTTGAGTCATTGATTAGGGGAGAATAGTAAAAGTGGCATGGATTGGCCTGCTGCAGGCCAATCCATCCCTATATACATATAGGCTACATAGATAGTCCAATGGAATCAAATTCCGGTGCCTTAAGGCTGCGCAAGGGTCCTGCACTGCCACTCTTGGCACACACTCGACACAACCCTGCGTACCGGACTTGTTCCCTTTGTCACCTACATCTAGATGTCCGACGACATACCCTCTGTCTCCTCACGGTTCATCTCCCAATCTGAGGTCGAGCAGGCCAAAGCCAACAGGGAAGAACAATGGCGTGCTGCCTATGCGCGGCTGGGGCAGGAACCGCCGCCTCAGCAGCAGGAGGTGGTTAGCGATGGGAGGAGCTTGTATGAGAGGCTACAGAGTAATAGAGTGCGGTTAGTTGGCCTTTTTTCTAGATCATGACTGATGGAAATAGGTGGAGAGGGAGGAACAGTGGCAGGAGCAGCATAAGCTCAGTGCGTCAACTTGCTTTCTATTAGTAACAGAGGTATAATGTCTGTGCAGGCAAACAGTTCCGCGCACTAGAAGAAGACGAGATTCTTTTCCTCCAACAAATAAAGGAGAAGAGGAACGAAGAGGAAAGAGTGAGGAAGGCAGAGGAGAATAATGAATTAGAGGGGTTTAGAGTGTGCGTCGTCCTCCTTCATGATTTTTTGTTCTTTACTAAATAGGTTGTAGAGCGGTCGCAGCGCGTCAAGTCGTCCCCCCACCTCCTGTACCAGGCGCGTCTACCCCTCCGACAATATCAAAACCTCCTGCGCCGACCAAGAAGCCCGAAGCTGCTAAGGGAAAGCCTATCAAGAAGGACCAGAAGTCGTTGCTGACGGGGGTGGTACTGAAGAAAAGGGAGAAGGCACTTCCTGCTCCGGTCACCCCCATCCCTACCTCTGCCACATCTGCAGCTCCGGAACAGAAGGAAGAAAAGGGAGGTGCTGCACCTCTGTCGCCTGAGGTCCCCAGCGGGATAGAGGCGAAGCGGAGTTTACCAGAGGAGGGTGGGAAAGACGGCAAACGACCACTTCCCGATCAAGATGGGGAATCATCAGAGGCCAAACGTCGAAAGGTGTGATTCAAGAGACGTAGGAGAGAAGGCGATGCTGTATCAATATCAGTATGTTAATTGGCTGACGTATCGGGACGGGGCATGGCGTCATGAGCCCACCAACGAGTATCGCCGCACAAACAAGTACCATCAGGAGCACACCGGCGCAGGCTCGGGAACGGCACTGCGCTTCCCGAGATTGTAGAAACCAGTCGTCGAATCTCCGGTATTCGTGCGTGGGTCCATGCGCTGGTCCAGAAACACCTTGCAGCATCTACTTACTTCGCACTCATTCAGTTTATTCCGCCTCTTTAATAGGATAACCGATTCCCACAACGGCTGCCGCACCACCAGACTTCAGAAGCAGCCGGTGTCCCTCACTCACAGCAGACCCTCCACGGTCTTCGCACAACGTCAGTTCTCCCATTATCTTTACGTACCCGACCTCGGCAAGTACTCACCAGCCGCCCTCGCACTCTTGGCGTCTTCCCGAATCCACCGTGCGCGCCCATAACCCAGCCTATATCCTTTCACGCGCGTCGCCCGGATCTTGCAGAGAATTGAGGCAGCACCATCGCCCGTTATCTCTTGTCCCTTGAGTAAGCTAGACCGTCAGATGGCCCGACGTCTCGGCGCGCGCCTGAATGATATATAAGATGAGATGGTTTCGCGAAACTCGGTTGGGTTCGATTGGACGATGTGAGCATCGTGCAGCTCTGCTTTCCATGCGGGAAGAAGACGAGGCGCGATATCTGATTGCCAGTGCACTGAGGCAGAACCGCAGTCAGTATTATTGTTGAGCTGTTCTCATTCCCAAATATAGACTGTAATTTTGGATAACAATATGTCTGTTGGGTATGAAGGCATACCACCGTGGTGGTTCTGCACGGACTCACGCGGCGAATACAGTTAAAATTCGCGAATTCGTTTCAGGGCACTCTCCGAACTTCTCCTCGAGCCATAGAGGAACCGCAAACTCGCACCGGTCTTTTCTTCTCCATTCTCCTCAACCACCATCTCTTCAGGCAATATGATGTGAACATTCAACCGCCAACTGTCTAGGCCAATTACTTCTTTCCATCTGCGCAAGCGTACAGCCGCTAAGATGGAATGGCTTATATACGCCTATGCTTTCCTCTTCACCTCCCTCACCCAGGTCAAGGCAATTGCACGGGCAATCTTCAACAGAACAATCCCTGCTATCATGTTTGAACCGGTGAGTATGGGAGCAAATGAGCGTTTTCGGGCACTGATACAGAGCAGGCTCAACCCATCGTCGCGCAGACCAACTACGTCCAACCGTACAGGACGTTCACCCCACCTGTGAAGGAGAACAAGGACACATACGGGAAGACGCTCACCCACTTTCAGGTATGTCTACATCATCTAGCCTATGCATGACTTCTCATGAACTGCACTTATAACAGTTCCCATGGCCCATCGAAATCAACGGCATCGAGCGCGTCGTCCTCTCCGCGAAGGGCGACCTCCAACGCGTACTGAGGTGTGCACTCTCCCCCTTCTAGCACGCTGGATCTCATCACCCACAGTGCCTACTTCGGTTCACCTATCTCCGTCTCTCCTATCTTTCAGACCCCCGCATCCTCCATCCCCGTATCTTCCGAAGCGTCACCCTCCACGCCCATAACACAGCACCGTGTCGTACACCTTCTCTGCGCCTCCAAGCTTGTTGTCGTCGCTACCTCTACAGTCCACCTCTATACACCCCGCGCAGCCTCCCTCCTTCTAGACGAGAAGTATGCTATTGGCCAATGCTACCGCGTCATGGGCCAGAATCCCGAGTTCGAGTTGGACAAGGTCTGGCTTGACAATGCCGCTACGGGGGAAGAGCGCGTGACGCGCAGGTACCGCCTCAGCACCGAGGAGATGATGTGCGAGATCGAGGAAGTGTTTGTCGACCGGAAGATGTTTAGGGAAGAAAGCTGGCTGTATGCTTGAGGGACACTACAGCACAAAAAAGCGTAATTCCGGCGAGATCCAATATCATGAGTCCGTCACTCATTCTTCATCTCTGTGCTTTAGAATTTTGCAATTCGTATATCTATTAGTTTCGAAGAATAAACTGCGGCGAATGCTCAGCATCCCCACTCTGCCCAAATATCGAGCAGCACACCCACAAAGAGATAAAGAACTTCCCAGAACGGTGACGATGCGCTAGTATCCACTATCAACTGCCGTACCGCCCAGGGATCAACCTCGTATCCTATCAATCTCCCGAACTCCAGAAGCTCGGCCATCCACTATCTCACTCTCTGGCTTCTGAGATGTATGAAAAGAATCGCTCGCTTGGGGCCATTGGGCCACGGGCGAGCATTGGAACCTGGCTCAGTGTTCTGGATAAGATCCGAGCTGCTGAAGATTACGGAGGGTGCGGCGAGATTGTGCTGCTGGCAGGGGCGGGGAAATGTGATTGTTGCCAGAGGGGATCTCCTTGGAGATCAGGAGGGAGAGGAGGCGGATGTCCGCGGCCTTGGAGAGGGAGTGGGTTAAGTTCGTGGGCTGACGAAGGTCTGTGCGTAGGTGTTAGTCATTGGGCACTGACTGGATCGTGGGACATGTCTTGGTCATTGAAGGTCAACCAGTTATCGGTATCACCGCAGAAAGCACGCCAGATGCCAAGCTTTGTTTCCCCAAGCGGCAGATACATAGCTGTCCTCCCGGGCGCAGAAACTAGCATACCAGACGATTCATGGGTTGAACGTATGGTTGAAGGCCACAAAGGTAAGGCGATGGCCCTATTGACCCACATTGCCATTGAGAATTGTCCCCACCCTCCGGTTTTGCTCCATTATTTGTAGAATAATGCAGAGTCGTCCTGTGCATGATGATTGGAATCCACTGCTGCGCTGGAGGGATACAATGGTCCAGAGCCGTGCAACCGAGTGACAGTTCTATCAGGTCTGAGTGCGGCTCCTCATTGCTCTAAATTTGGACACTGAGGGAGCACAAATCAGGTCCTGACGGCTGTCAGGTAACCTTCCATTCTGGGCAATGTACGAAGCCAAGAGCCAGCAAGATAACTCGTGTTAATGTGCGGACTGCGGATTGGGGCGAAGTCGAAGAAACTCTTCAATGAGCACCGAACGCCGGCGCCAGTAGTGAAGGAAGTCTTGGCTCAGGAGCACAATCCCTAATCCTTCTCCGCAAGTCCTCGGAGTTAGACCACGTATGACAGGATAGAAAGCTCCAAAAAAGCCACGCAGACAGTAGAAAAAGCGCGGAGGCTAATACATTCTACCGTGAGGACTGGAGATATGGGAAGGATGTTCCGCTCATGGGGCCCCGGATTTGAGCTCGATCCGTACGTAACATGACCCTCACCTTCCGGGTGGTAGTTAGAATGAAGGAATCGCATTTCGAATTTGATCGCAAAGAGGATGCTTGAGTAGGTTGCAGGACGAGTCCATCGATGTGATCCCTTCGAGGAGACCAGAAACAGCACAGAACGATCTGCATATCACCTTCCTTTATAGAGAAAACTCGCTTGAGCAAAGATCAGAGCGAGCTGATCTTGTCTCCCGCTTTGTTAACCACTCAGAATGTCCTTCGAAATTGATCAACGCTAACAGCAGAGGGTCGGAGAGAAACAGAGAAAAACGTTAACTGGTTGGGCAGGATCTCATGTGCAACCAATTGCTTCCGTGCTCTAAATAAGCTTCGCTCCACGCGAGTGATGACAAACTCCCCTGGAGACGCGTGCACACATCAAAGCAGCCTTCATTCATGTCGGGTGTCCGGTGAAAATGTATTCGGTACGGTCGGCTTGTACGGACATGTCTAGAAGAGTTCGGATGATTCGTGTCGGCAGAATGGTTCTCTATCTCTGTTCTTGCCCTAGGTCACACAGGTTCTGTTGACAGGTCCGGGTACCCCACATGATTGATTTGATGGATATCCAGGTGACTCTAGGTATGGGCGTTATTACCTGTCGGTTCTCGGAGTCTTGTCCTGATCTTCTATCTCTGCAGGTCTTTTAAGGGGGGCGTTAACGGAATGTGCGGACCAAATCAATCCGTGCTTCACCGTCCCCGCCATCAAGCCCAATTATTTATCGTTCAGCAACGTGAATATCTCCTGAAGGGCTGAAATAATGGGACTTTGGGTCCTAGAAGGTATGTTGCTAGGTGATATCTGCCAAACTTAAGGTAACGATTTTCCTAGATAAGCATCTCGAACACGTGCCTGGAACGTCGTTTATCAATGATACCAACCCTCTTCACGTCCATGGTGGCGAAGCAGGACATCCGCAAGACATCATTGTCGATACAGGCCGATTGAAGCACGCGACAGGTCGTAATTCTCACATTATCCTCGTTCCTCAGCCCTCCGACGATCCGAACGATCCGCTCAACTGGCCTTGGTGGAAGAAAGAGCTGCTTTTCTGGCCGATGATCTTCGCCGCCGGTTTGGTTGGTGCGATTGGTCCTCTGCTTACTCCGGGATTTGTGGAGCTATCCATTGTGTTTGGTGTCACGGTTGACAAGGTCGCTTCGTCCCTTAACGGTGCTTGCGTCGTTGCCATTGGTTGTGGGATGCTACCCATGGCATCGCTTGCCCAGAAATACGGTCGACGCCCGATGTTCCTGCTCGCTGCTTTGCTCCTCTTTGTGACATGTATATGGGCCGGTGCCAGTATGTTTTTCTTGAACCGGAGGATGACTGGATAGTTCTCACGTCTGGAGTAGCTCCGACTAACAATTTCTCCTCCCTCACTGCAGCACGCGCCATTCAAGGTCTTGCCATGACGCCCCTTGAAGCGCTCGTAACTGCTACCATCGGGGATATCTACTTCGTGCACGAACGTGGGTTCCGTGTTGCTGTATGGGGCTTTGCCATCCTCGGTGGCATCAACCTTGCCCCCATTGTCAACGGCCCCATCATTCAAAATCAGGGTTGGCAATGGTGCTTTTGGGTCATTGGAATATTGTTCGGTGTTTCTCTGATCCTTACTTTCTTCACCTTCCCCGAAACCGCGTACAAGCGCGAGGAGAAGTACGAAATTGATGGCGGATCCCACGATAACGTCGCTGCATTGGCTATTGAAGAAAACGCCGAGGCAGAAAAAGCAGAGATGGAACACAAGGAAGGGGTCGCGGTCGAATCTCGTTCAATCCCACCGCGCCGCACCTTCCTGCAAGACCTTCGTATATTTTCCGGCGTGCATGATCCAACTCCGTTGTGGAAACTGATCGCTCGCCCACTTCCTTGCTTTGTCTCGCCTGTAGTTATCTGGGCAACACTCGCATATGGCTTCCTCACTGTCTGGCTCGTCGTGCTTTCGGTCACGGTCTCTCTCATCTTTGGCAGCCCCCCGTATAACTTCAATTCTACACAAACCGGTCTCGTTTCCATCAGTCCCTTGATCGGTTCCCTTTTGGCCGCCTTAATTGCTGGTCCCGTGGTCGATTGGTGCGCAACCGGTCTTGCTAAGCGCAATAACGGCGTTTACGAGCCCGAATTTCGGCTTTTGCTCTGCTTCCCTATGCTGATCCTTGAAGTCCTTGGGTACGCAGTGTGGGGTGCTGTTCAAGCAAAGGGTGGTCCATGGATTGGACCCGTTCTCCTGTACAGCATCATCGATTTTGGTCAAGGTCTTGGCTCAACGGCTGTCATCGCCTATGTTATCGATGCTCATCGTGGTACTGTTCCCGAAGCTTTCGCCGTCCTCAGCTTCATCAAGAACATGGTTGCCTTCGGATTTACTTACTTTGTCAAGTGATTCTCCCGATCTTGTCGTTCTTCGAGATATGCTGACTGTTTATTAGTTCATGGATCGAGACGCAAGGGATGCTAAACACATTTGGTACCCTGGCCGGCCTTACCGCCGTTTGTGTTTTGCCGACCATACCCATGTACCTCTATGGAAAGAGGGTTCGCTCTTGGATCCATCGTCATCAGCACTTCTTCCTCTCAGATCAACTCCGTTGAGGCTTTGCTGGGGTGTTGGGTCCAAGGCTGTGTCGTGTGGTGCTATCACAGCCTGTTACACGTCTTTGCTTCCTGTCATTCATATAGCAACGACTGAGATGCCTGATATGAACTGCGTCTTTTCTTTCTTAGGATTCTTTCTGGAAGTGGTGCGGGCGTGAGCACGTTCTTCCCAGGTGCCTATGCCACGAGGAAGCCAATAAACGCCCACATACGTGTGACTGGAACTCTTCTCAAGCCCCTACAGATCTCCTGGCATGGAAGACCAAGACCATCTTCACCGGAATACTGCGTATTCACTATGTACGTCAACACCACACCAATCCTGGATAACAGCATTCTCTTTGGGGTCTGAATGCCTCAGTCCCTTGCTGGCATCATCGCTGGAAACTATCATCCGCCTTCGTATGCTAAGTACTGGCATATGACCGAAAGGGACGAGAGGTTCCCAGTATGAGTGGGACCAGATAGGCTTGAAATGCGAAGTTCCCCACTTCTTGAACCCATGGATGATCCGAATACGAAGACGGCCCCTCCTTCCTCCAAAGGGAGTGTACAGTGCCCGAAAGATGATCAAATCTGCCTGTATGAAAGCGCGCTGGCCCGTTCTTGACCAATAATTTGCAACTTATAAACCTCAGCATCTACCATGCGTAGACGGCAACTGAGTTCAACCTCCGTAATGCCTTTTGGAATCCTTGAAGGTAACGCTTCCCGTCTTCTTAATTGTTGATCTTACTCATTTGGTAGATCGCCATCTGGAGCATGTGCCTGGCACCTCGCTCATCATTGAACTGGATCCATTGAAAGAAGTTGGCGCAGAAGTTGGCGACACGGGTGTGCCACTTAAGCGGGGCACCGGTCGCAACTCGCATGTCATCCTGGTAAGCTCTCTGTTCCGAGAGAACGGAACGGCGTACTTAGGTGCCCTGCAGATTCCTCAGCCCTCTGATGATCCGAATGATCCGCTGAATTGGCCACGATGGAAGAAAGAGCTGCTCTTCTGGCCCATGGTATTCTCAAGTACATCCCGTTGCGTTGCCCAGAGAGGATGTTGTGATTTACGGCTTTTGCAGCCGGACTTGTCGGAGCAATAGGTCCACTTCTCACCCCCGGATTTGTTCAAATTGCAAACGTACGTCCGGCACATGGCCTAACATTCAAGTGCTCAACATGAACAGGAATTCGGTGTCTCGGTCGATAACATTTCTTCCTCTCTCAATGGTTCATGCATCGTTGCTATCGGCATAGCAATGTTTCCCATGGCGACCTTCGGTCAAAAGTACGGCAGACGCCCAGTCTTTTTGCTTGCCGCCGTAGCGGAGTTCGCGACTTCCATTTGGGCTGCCTTGTGTAAGTCTGCCTTGTGGATATTGTGGCGAGGCTGACAGTTCTCCAAGCCACAAGCCTCACTTCCCTTACGGCCGCTCGCGTCATACAAGGAGCCGGGATGGCTCCTCTAGAAGCACTGGTGACGGCAACCATTGGTACTAGCCTTCATTAAACGGGACCATCATCCTATCTAATTCGGGCGATCTAGGCGATGTCTTCTTCGTCCACGAACGCGGCTATCGTCTTGCCGTTTGGGCCTTCGCCATCAATGCAGGAATTGCCGTCGCTCCCATTGTAAATGGGGCACTGATCCTACATATCGGGTGGCAGTGGTGTTTCTGGGTTAGTGTTCTCTCAACATCTGATTGTCCCGAGCTTACGAGCTGTAGATTATCGCCATCTTATTCGGCATATCCTTGATACTCATGATCGCCACTTTCCCGGAAACATCTTACAAGCGTGAGGTACGGCCGCGTATGGTGCTCACGGAAGAACCGCAGTCCCCCGTTGAGGACGAGAAGAAAGACATGCCTGACCCCGATTCAGACAGCTCCAACGAAAGACTTCCGACAGGCGTACCTACCTTCGTCTCCGACCCGACGAGTTCGTATCCTCCTCGTCGTACATGGATTCAGGATATGCGGCCTTTCAGCGGCGTGTACGACCCACTTCCGTTCTGGAAGACACTGCTCAGGCCCCTGCCATTTTTCCTTTCACCTGTCGTGATTTGGGGCACGCTAGCATATGGATTCACGACCGCTTGGTTGGTGGTATTGAGTGTGACGGAGTCGTTAATCTTTAGCTTGCCGTGAGTCTGCTTCACAGTGGTGTATCTTCGCTAACACCTTGGACATCTCAGGCCATACTACTTCGACAGTCAATCAGTCGGCCTTGTGTCTATCGGCGCCCTCATCACTGGCATTCTCGCAGTGTTCATATCCGGCCCAATATGCGACTGGTGTGCAACCGGCATGTCGAAGCTCAACGCGAGTCCCTGCAAGTGCCCCGATTGGTTCATCAAGCTGATATTATCTTAGGGCGGTGTCTATGAGCCAGAGTTCCGCTTGCTCCTTGTCATTCCTATGATCATCCTTGAGGTGATGGGATATGTCGTGTGGGGTGCAGTACAGGCAGAGGGCGGCCCTTGGATTGGCCCAGTCATCCTTATCGCGTAAGCAGAGCTGCTCTTCTTGGGTAGCGCCGCTAACGCAAGCAACAGGTTAATCAACTTTGGTCAAGGGCTCGGAATTACCGGGATTGTCACTTACGTGGTTGATGCTCATCGTGGTCACATCCCCGTATGTCCAACATGTTGAGTCTTGCGCGGTTCCTGGCGTTCTGATGTCTACCGATTCTAGGAAGCGTTCGCAGTGATCAACTTCATCAAGAATATGCTCGCTTTCGGGACGACGTACTTCGTGAACGGGTGCGTCCGCGGGCATGTAAGGCAAACTGCAGTGCTGTAACTGACACCAATACAGCTGGGTCGAGACCCAAGGAGTATTCAACACGCTCGCCACACTGTCGGGCCTAGCGGCTGTATGCCTCGTACCGACACTCCCGATGTACATATTTGTGCGTCTTCGTCTTCGTCTTGCCGTCTGCGAAGCATTACTGACCGTTTGGGCAGGGCAAGAGGGTGAGGAGCTGGATTCATCGGCATCCTAAGCTGTTCCTTCGGGAGTGATAGACGATGTGCACGGACGGTGTCTTGTATGCTACGGTAGTTTCCGATCGGGAGAATGAAGATGGAAGCTGTTCCTGATTCATGAATTCCTGTACGGAGTAGTCCGTACAGCTCGATGATCGCATTCACCCTTAATCGCGACGTCCCTCTTCCTCATTCTCCAAGTACCTTATTCCCTTCCTCAAGAAAGCGAGCCAAACCCAAGTCATCCCCTCCATCTGCACATCATACCACCAATTCAACGCCACACACACCCCTTGCCCTTGCTCCCCAAGGCCGGCCTGGCGCACATGATGGTTCCACCCTGCTGGGAGGTAGAGGGTTTGCCCCCCGCGCACCGTTATAAATAGAGGCCGAGTGCCTTCTGGGGGATTGTCGGGATCGAAGGAGAGCCAGCGGACTGGTGGGTGCTGTGCTGGGTCGGACGGGGTGAGCTGGAGACCGGCCTCAGTTCGCGTATAGGTCGCATGCGGGTACTCGTGATCGGGAAAGAAGCATGTCTCTGTTGGAGGGAAGAGGGTAAAATGTTTCACTCCTCGGATGACGTGGTAGATGTTTTCGTAGGGATCTGCGATCTTTCAGTTCCTGACTGGCTGTGTGGATGGGTGGATGAGGCTCACCGCTGTGAAGGCTGGTGACGCTGCGCTTATCTCCAATCCAGAGGTTGACAGCGTCGGGCTCAACACCTGAACATCCAATTATGTGTTGATCAATGATACAGAAGGAGAACCGCACCTAGCGAGTGATGTACGAACGGCACATGTAATGGGATATGTTGTCGTAAGGCGTGCAGCTCGGTTATGGGGATGCTCGAATTGTAGATGTTCCCGTTCTGAGATTGGAGATAACGGACTTCCTGATGCTGTATTAATATTCAGACTTGTGTGTATGCACTCAGTGATCAAGATGAGGTCTTACTGTGGCATCGTCTTGACCAAATGAAGCGAGGAAAGAGGTGATATCTTGTTGCTCCGTCAACGGCTCTACGAAGTACGTTCGGCCATCGGAATGTTCCTTCAGCGCGTCTGCCGCTCTACAAGCTAAGTGAGTCAGATAGGACCATAATCCAAAATACCCATGTGCTTACCCATCTGGAGTCACCGCAATAGACAGCGGGATAGACCCAAACACTTCTCTCAGCCAGGCATCTGTCCATCCCTCATCTTCTCCAAACGTGAAGTAGTCTATTGATGATCAGGTGGTGACTGAAATGACAGACGCATCCCGCACCGTCGATCAGGACTGGCCTGCCGATGTGCTGCCATCTTGGCCAGTCAGAGTCTTGGATATAACGGCCTTCGATGCGCGTGAACTCGGCGCCGTTCAGATCTTAAAGCTTCTCTCAGGTTTCAGTAGCATATATGCAGCATATCATTCACCTTGATACTCCTTCGCAAGTTTTCTGAGTACTTGTTCCATGAGGTTGAGAAAAACAAGTCTCTAATATTGGAGGGTGTCGGTGATGACACGAAGACAAGCACCGATGATCTAAATGCCGGTCGAGGACGCGACGGCCATCACGCAAAGAGTCGACTGTCCGATTTGCACGCATTCCTCCACCCCATCATACTTTAAGCCGTCCTCTAGCGTACTGGTGCTGTACTCTCTAGCCGAAATGGCAGCGTCCACATCTTCGTATAAGCCTACGAAACCCCAAAGGTCCATCCGGGTTACTGCCGGAAGACCCGTCCCTTATGGTCGTTATCGACACCATGAACTCGAGAAGTCAACCTGTTCAAGTCCATCATGGCGCCGCAGTACACGATTCATCAACGCCAATGTCATCTGAAGTGGGACAATAGGTACGCTTTCCATCCAGACGTCTAGTGACGAGCGCTAATCACGACCACAGTATCCCTCCGGTCGCGACGGTCGCGTCTGGCAGCGTGGTCAACTTTGATTGCCTCGATGCCTCGAATGGGCAGATCAACGCTTCCTCGACCATAGAGTCTGTTGCGAGGATGGACTTCAGCCAAGTGGATCAGGTGAATGGGCCTATATTCGTCGAAGACGCGGAGCCGGGGGATGTGTTGGAGGTGGAATTCCTCGAGCTGGAGACGGCCGACTGGGGCTGGTACGTCCACCCCCCCCGCCCTCCAACAAGTTCGCGTCATTGACGTGTATCAGGACCGCCAATATCCCTGGCTTCGGTGCACTCGCAGACGTGTTCGAAGCGCCGGCACTGAAGATCTGGAAGATCGAGAAGGACGAGAACGGTCAGCATTTCACCTGGTTCAAGGAGGGCAAGATCCGCATTCTTACCGCACCCTTTTGCGGTGAGATTGGCGTTGCCCGTGGAGAGAAGGGCGCATTCTCTACTATCCCGCCGTATAGAACTGGGGGGAATATGTGAGTCACTGGTTGAAGATGCGGGAGAATAGCTGACGGGGGGAAAGTGATACGAAACATATCACTCTTGGGACGAAGATCTATCTTCCTATCGAGGTGAAGGGCGCACTGTTCTCGGTGGGAGATGGACATGCTGCACAAGGTGAGTGATTCATGTCCCCATGAATAATCCATCTGACCGATTGAGCAGGAGATGGAGGTACGTTGATGCTGTAAGAATATATGTTCAACGCTACTGAACTCCCACTCTCTAGAGTGCTGCGGGTACGCTCCTATCACTATCTCTCCTGATCCTTACTGATATATCTTTCAGCACCGCCATCGAAACGCCGATGAAAGTCTCCGTCCGCCTAACCATCCACAAGAACATGCCCTACGTGAAAGAACCATCCTTCCTCACCCCCGGACCTCTGGCCTCCAACTTCAACACCGGAAAGCACTACTCCACTCTTGGCATCGACCCTAGTACGTCTCCTTGTGCAACCCATGGTATGGCCGCTGATTTCGTAGATCTGAGAGAGGCGACAAAGAAAGCCGTCACGTTTATGGTCGATTACCTCGAAAGCGTGCATGACTTGACCAGGGTAGAGGCATATATGCTCTGTAGCGTATGCGTAGATCTGAAGATGTGTGAGGTTGTCGGTATGTGACCGCCCCCTCAATCTACATGTCAGGTGATGACTGGGGTGTTGACAGATATGCCGAATTACGCTATCGGAGCGTTCTTCCCTCTGTCGGTGTTTGTGTGAAACATGGAGTGTATTTCTGTTTATGGGTTGAGGAAGGTTGAATGGATCAATGACGAAAGCGACTCCTGCGTTTTATGGGGTTATCATGCTACATATGCAAATTGAAACACAACTAGAACGACTGCTGCAGGAATTGACATATAATCCATATGGAATTGTTTTAACTTTGCGACACTCCCTCGAAGGAAACAGAAGGATCATTATGTTATTATTGACATACTGCTGCTATGCAGGACACCAAAGCTTTCCTCGATTCAAGACGCGTTCTACGGATTCGACATGATCCGATCTATTCCTCTGTTGTTGTGCTTTTTGCGGCTTGCAACTGGCAGAATACATTACTTCGATCATCTACAGGACTCTAACACAGAGAACCTCTCAATACACCGCCAGAGGCGCAGGAGCTGCACCGATAGGAGGGAGCTTGTCGACGGTCAGGCCCTCCTGCTTCGAGGTCGTCTCGTTATCGAGCCACACGCTGTCAACCTTCTCTCCCGTCTTCTTGGCTTGTTCTTGAAGCCGAGCCAGTTCGCGCTGGACGAGCACATCCTTGTACGCTTGCGTGCTGGTGGTTGAACGGAAGACCTCACGCGGGGCGGTGATGTGCCAATTCGGCAGGCTCTTAACGCCGAGATCGCGGAGGGTCTTTTGCTCGACAAGGCAGTAGTCTTCCGGGTTGGGACGGTTGAAATTGAACGGCTCGCTCGCGCTGACAGCCGGGTTGGAGATGATGCGGATGTTGCGCAGATGGTTCTTGGCAGAACTGTGCGGCATGAGTGGGTGCATCAGCACCACGTCACCCTTCTTGCCTGTCATCTCAGCAAACTTCTTGCAGTCCTTGATGGAGTCCAGGGCTCGTGTACCGTCGTCGTCCTTGAGCCAGATGTTGGTGCCCTGAGGGCGATCGTGCAGCCACTTTGCTACTTCGGCGATCCCATCCTCGCAGACGTAGGTGGCACCACCACGGGAGTGCACATCGGAAAACAGGGTGATCACGAGCAAGGCCTGCTCAGGAGAGTCGAGGAAATGACGGAACCAGTCACCATCGCTGTCGGAATGATCAACACTCGTGTAACAACGAACGGCAATCGCTTACGTATGCCAGTTATCCAGCTCCTGGGGAGCAATATCATGGTTTTCCCAGTACTCGGTGCCGATGTTGACGATCAGACCGTCGGACCAACCTGCCCAACCACGATACTTGCTCTGAGTGTCAACACGTTCCTCGCCACCAAGCAGTTCGCACATCGCCTTCCACGCCTGTGGCAGAATTAGTACAGTAGCATGAAGACACTGCTGTAAGACGGACCTTAGGAGCACATTCCCGTGGATCTCTCAACCTGTGCTTCGGCATGTGGATGATGTCGTTGCGGTCAGGACGGTCGCTGAGCCAGGTGTTCTTATCGTTCGGGTCCATACCGAGACGCACCCAGACGTTCTTCATGAAGTAGTCGACAGTCTCCTCAGGCATACCTTGCGGGATGCAAACCCAGCCGTACTCCAGGAAATGCTCGCGCATCTCCGCTACTCATCGTCAACATGTCGTCCGACTGTGCGAGTTCGGGTGGCACTCACGTGTAAGAACTTCGTACTCGATGGGCATGATGACGGTCGTACAACAACAAGAGAGTAAGACGAGTACTACACAGCGGGAGCCTCAACCAAATTGGAGCTGGAATAGCTCTCTACGAGGTTCGCAAGATGGTAATATATTATGTCGGTGAGTTGCCGGTCCAGGAAGTATCACGAGACCGGGCCGTCCGAGTGGAGGCTAGCGTCGCTCCGTCGTCCTCCACAAATGAGCACAAATATGTGGTTGACCGGATGCCATCCGTAAATAGCTCGGTCCGAAGGCAAATCGTTTACTGTTTCGAGCGCGGGCAGCATGCCAATTGTGGGGAATTGGATGGGGTCCGGAGAGGAGGAAAGGGGCCATGAACGAGATATAGCGGGAAACTCGGCCCGTGCCTGTGTGTTTCACGGCCATCGGCATCAGTCCGAGGTCCGACATTTCTATGCACTGAAGTCCGCCCCCAGCCGGGGTTTAAGGCGCGTTTTCCCGGCCTGGGCCTTCTCCACCCTCCGTCCCCCCTCTCCCTCTCCGGCGCAGGAGCCGCCTCTTCCCGCTCAAGCCCGGGCTGCACCTCCGTCCCTTCCTCTTTCGTCTCCCCCTTCCTGGAAGGAGCTCGTTCCAGATCCATCGCCTCCTCCCAGAAGTCAACCACGATAGGTGCTCGGGGCCCTTTCTTCGTGTGACCATCCGAATGCATTCGACCGAGGGCAGCGTTGACCGACAGGCCCCAGCGGTCTTTTACTTCCTCACTAGGCGCTGTGGTTGCTGCGACAGGAAGAGGTGGAAGGAGCGAAGCCGGTGCGGAAGGAGAGCGGGAATGCCCTGCTCGCCAGGTTGATGTCGAGATGCTGAGATCAGCTAACGAGGCCTCCAGCTCAACAGAGGGGCTCTTCTTATGCCATTTCCCTCTCCTCCCTTTCTTTCCTTTTCCCATCCCACTCCCCATCTCTCGCTCCTTCTCCACTTCCTCCCTTTCCTGCCTGACCGTTTCTGGGGGAGCATACATCCCAACCCCAGCCCTCGTGTATATGCCCAAAGACGTGCATCCACGGGCCCCTCGGCCATACCCTTCACACGTCTAGCCAGCTCCGGGCATCCAGGCATGCACACCCTT